GCATATTTTTTGGCAATTCGAGGAAAACTGCAAAAATAAGCACTTTATTTAACTAATTCAAAAATTTCGTACGCATGATGTCAGCTGCTGTGCTGTGAATAGGTGCTTAAAACGAAATGTGTTTTAATTTACGCAATTTACAATGTGAATAACGTCTAAGCCCAATAGAAATTTGATCGTGAAGTTTGAATTCAGTTAGCAATTGCTTTGTCGGCTTCGGCTGCAATTTTCATCACGTCTTTAGGGCTTTATATTATTTTGCCTAACAAGGCGCCGCTGGCCGGACACACAAATTGTTTATGTCTTTTGAGCTGTTTTATTATTTTCAAAGTATTCTAAACGTATTCGCCGGCAAAAGTGCGCTGAACTCGACGACTGACTCACGAAATGCCAAATATATTAATTTTATTTTACTTTAATGAGTAAACACGAGCAATGCAGTAAGCGGTACTGTAGAACTCTTTTATGGCGCGTCTTAAAAGTTAAAATTGTATATTTTTTACTTGAATTTAAGTTTAGCTGGCTGCTATTCATACATTATTATGATTGATGTGTTTTTATTTTTTGGGCGACTACCTCAAGCACAGCGTCAGGTTCTTAAGGCTGACCCACTTTTTGTTATTTACTTTCAATAGATTTATGATTTTTGTTCTCTTTTTTGCTTTCGGGAAAAATGAAAGCGAAAATAAAGCATGCTGTTTTATCTTGTTGCCGACTATAAAATATATTATTATGCCACTGCACAGTAGCTGTCCGCGGTGACAGCTAACGATGACGTCGTCGCCGTCGTCGTTGACCAACAAGCGACATCAAAAACCAGAAAGAACAAAAAACTGGCGCTATTAATTTTGACTACGGCATATACACCTACTCCCCAAGCCCCTCTGCCTGCTCGATCGCTCGCCAGAATTCTATTGTTTTGTTTGGCCTGCTGAACTGGCACTCAATTGGGTTTTTGCGGCTGTGTGCCTAATGATCGGCGCTCAAGTTCGCTTTGGCGTATACGTAATATACGTATACGTAATGCCGCCCGAGTCAGCTGCCGTGGCCAGTGTGAGACAGGTTGCAATTTGGTGGGCGTCGAGCGCAGTGACAAAATGATAATTACCAAGTGCAATAAAGTTAGATACATTATTTAATTTTTAAATGCTTGCTGCGAGGCTTTGGCAATAAATAAACATTTTAATTTATAACTAAACACGAAATTTGCTTAAGCTCAAAATGTGTGTTTACGGCTTAACTGCGACTTCTTAACTTTTTGCAGAAGCTTAAGACTTAGACTAAACGACCTTAAAGCCAAGCAACGAATTTAAAGTGTGCGGCAAGAATTCGGAGATTGAATTTGGTCAAGGAGGGTTAAGGGTTCGAACCAATGCCGACCCCAGTTTGGATCCTCGCAATGTACTTCCTAATTCTCTGATGCAACATTTACAAGAACTAAAATCGTATTTTTTTATAGTAAAGCCTCATTTTGCCACAACCTACCCAATTTTCTATCTAGATATTTTAACTTTTACAAAGCAAATGTAGATATGTTTGAGCTTTCCTATCGTAACTGCCTACGATCAGGCAGCTTAAGTCTTTCTAGAAATATATATTTAATAGTTCCGCAAAAATCTCTCTTTTAGTTGCTTATCAAATCATTTTTGGAGTTAAATATTTAGTGGTTCCGGCTTAAGTGCGGTTGATTCAAAGATATTGTTGCATGTTTGAACCTTGATCTTTTATACTTATATTGAAATGTGTGCTAAGTGTATTCAGCACTAAATTAAAAATTTCTGCTGCTTCTGCCAAATTATTCACTTAGCCAAACAATTTGCAATTATTTCTTGTTTTGTCATTTGGTAGACAGGTTGACGTTAAAGCCCAAACCCTTGTCATGGTCAAAGCGACAATGTGACACTCTCAAGGCAGCGGGAATTCAACAACAAGACAACGATGACAATTACATAATTACGCACTTGTGTTGGCAATTAACTCGATGCTCGTAAGAGACAATCAGACAGACAGTTAACCAGAGAGCTAGACAGCTGCATACACCCTTTCCTTGGCGGCAATTTGTGGTCTTGATTGATGGCACTGGGATTGAATTAGGCATAAAGCTGGCCCAAGAAGCGTAACGTCACGATTGAGAGTGTGAGTCCGTCCTTAACTTCAAATGTTTACGCTCATAAATAATGGAAAATATTGGAAAATATATAAAAATGAAATATAACAATTGATCGTATTGCCGATTCTCTTAATTGCTTGCCAAACAAAAGGGCCGGGCACAGGGAGGGTAGCGATCCATAGGGGTTATTTTACAACGAAGGCCAGCCACAGATTTAACTCAATAAAGTTTCATTAAAAATGCATAATGCTGCGCTAATAGTTACAACAAACCAACCACAATAATAACAACAGAAATTAACCAAATATGATCATAAAATAAATACAAATTAGAAGGCGTGGCCTGGTGTGCGGGTCACATGGGGTTCAACGATTATTAATCAAGTGCCGCCTTAATTATGTGACACAACTGTCCCATGTAATATCTAGTTATAGTCCAGGGGGCAATCCGTAGAGTGACGTCTGCCGGCGGCGTTGCTCGGTCTGTGGCATCAATTAAAATTCGTTTCGCTTGCCGTCGATCAAATTAAGCAACTGCCCAAAAAAATTGAAAGTATTACGAGCTACGTTATAATACGCTGAATCTATAAAGAATGGTTATAAAGGGTATAATGGTTTTTTGGAAATGTATGTAACAGAAGGCAACAGAAGGTTCTTGATCGAAATGAGGGGCAAAGTCAATTTACCCAAATGGCAAAATGTGTACGTAGGCATAAGTCGAAGATAAAAAGATAAATATGATTTGTAGCTTCTTATATTTTGGACACAGAACAAGAATATCTCATCTTTTGGAGAACTCCCTCCAATCTTCCCAGAATTGATAACGAAGTGTCTTACGCTTTGATATGCACACACTATAGTATGCCAAATATAAGCCCTGAAATTGTCAAAAAGAGCGTACTATAAACAGTACAATTAATCAATAATGCATTTCCCATGGATCGTATAGAAGAGGAAAATGAGAATGCTCGTAACGGCAGCTCTGCGACGGCTTCAGTGTATACCCTAGTCGAGCAGTCCCGATCAGAACAAGCTTAATTGTTGGCATTAGACTTGTGCTACGGTTTGGCTCTAAACGAATGTCAAGTATGAATCCATTGATGAGTGCCCGCTGGCTGTCAGCGCCGGCTATTTCATTTGATGGGCCTCTTTCGCAGCTCCAGACAATTGTCGCTCTCTCTGGCTCTTGTTCCTCTTTATTTTTATTACAGTATCTATGTGTATGCATAAATTCGGCGCTTTTTGGTAAAGCAATTTCAAATGTGTTGTGTTTTTTTTTCTTCAACTCTGCGACTCATTTCCGGCTTTCGTTTTTCCGGGCAGTTCCCCCAAAGCATTGCGCGCGTGCGGTTCGGTTTCAGTTCCACTCCATCGATAAGGCTAGGCGGGCACTTAAGTATGAGTTGTATCTTCAAGATATTAGCATAATTATGTGCTGTTATGGATTGCATATTTGGCATTGAACTTGCTGCTTGAAAACTAAACCGAAAACAAAACAAACAAAAACGCAAACAAACGCAACGATTTCATTCGAGATTGTTTACAGCTCAAATTAGTTTTCAATTCATGCGATAAATATTGACAGAATGACATCAGCGGTGTGTGTGTGCAAATAAGTTCAGCTATTTACTAATAGTTTAAAGTAGACAAACAACAGCAACAACAATAACAGCAACAATGTGAGCTGGCCTGAAAATTCCAAGAAGTCAAGCAAGCGGCTAGCTTGAATTTGATTTTAGCTTGAATTGGTCTAATGTGCCATTAGGTTGGTCTGAATTAGGAAAGAAATTATCAAACGTTTCGGCTTATGTGAATGCTAGCTTTAGTGTTACCCGGCGTCGCCCGACAGCATGTTTTTCATCCCAAAATTTAAATACACTTTTTCTACTTTACAACCTTACATCGACTTTGATAATAGCTAAATTTTGCTGAATGTTTGGAGTCAACTGCGAATTAGCAGTATTTATCTAAGGTGTGGAAGTGAACTGTAATTAGTAAACAATAAAGTTTATTACAACTAAATTTGACCAGTTCTTATAACTACAGCGACACATCCAGTCTGTCGGTCAGTCAGTCCATCAATCATTCAGTCAGTAAGTTCATCAGTCAGTCAGGTTATTAATCAATCAATTAGTCAGCCAGTTAATCAATCAGCCAATAAGTCAATCAGTTAAAAAGTCAGTCAATTAATCAGTTAGCCAGTTCGACAAGAAGTCAATCATTTAGTATGTCAATCAATAAGTTACACAGTCCATCAATCAGTCAAGTCAGAAAGTGGAACAGCTAGTTTGTTAGTCAATCAGTCGCTAGGTAAGTTAGCCAGTATGTAAGTCAGTCAGCCAGGCAGTTCAGTCAATCAGTCAATCAATCAATTAGTCAGTAAGGAAATAATCTTATTTATACAGATAAAGCGCATTTAGCAACTTGTAGATACAATTTGAGATACGCTGACACCAGCCTGCCCCACATAGTTGTTCGCTTCATGTGGCTTTCAAGGGATTTCAGCTATGCATGCGGCATGTGGCAGCTTGTCTGGCGTCGCTTCTCATTAAAAATGCAGCCGCATAATTCGCAAAGTCAGGCAAATGTCAAGGCGTCTTCTCTCTTTGCTTATCCAAAATTAGAACAGGCAATGGGCCATGGCATCTGCAGTAAGATACAAACACAAACACACAGATACGAATGAAATTTTGCAATGACAGCGCCTTGAAATCTGAGAGTTCATCTCGTCGTGCCCTGCCCTTTTGTGGTGCATGTGCATGTATGTATTTTTTTTTCCATTATTTATTTTTTGGGCGACGGTTGGGTCAAGCCTGAGGTCAACATTTATCAACGGCCAATTTGATGTAGCATGTTTATTTATGTGCCACATCTTTCCATTTACTTTGCAGGCAAACAGCAACATCAAGTATTAAAAAAGCCAAATCGCGCCACAGGCACATATGCAAATTCACAGGAAAAGCCGTACACACACAGACATCTAGACTAGCTGTTGGCCATAGAGGAGCTGCCGTAGATACAATTGCCAGATAAGTTCTACTCCCAGCACATTTCCGCACTCTGCACAGTGGGACGAAACTGTGTACGCCTGTTTGTTTACTGTGGCAACTGGAAACTGGAACTTGCACTCACCACTCGCCACTCGGACTCAGACGTGCCATAAAGATGCCAGGCATATAGCGCATATGCTTGCCACAGGCCAGGCCAAATATAAATATAAATATATCCAAGCGTAAAGTGCTGAGCCACAATATTATTATTATTATATTTGGAGTGTGTGCAGCGCGTTGTGCAATCCCGCAAAATACATTCTAATAAAATAGCCAGACAGCAGAACTTGCCATAAGAAAGATTAAGTAAAAGATTCGAACGGGATCGAGCTGCAAGAGCCAGCTGAGGTGTCGAGTGCATCCCCAGATACAGATATCCGACTCCTTTACTCTTCCTCCCAGCACGTGTGAGTCGACATAGACGTAGGTCGTGGCCAAGGTGTTCAAAGGCAAACGGAGCGGCAGCCGCAACGAGGTGTACACATTCGGCACCATGGAGGGCGGTTACGTAAACGAAGGTGAGTGCTCGTAAATCTCTCGATCTACCACTATATATAAATAAAGCCCACTGCAATCGATTCGGTGCTAAACTGCACATGCAATTGCATTTTAGCACTTGCCCAACTCGTACCATACTTGAAAGTCTATTATACATTAATTTATGTGCGCTTTATGGGGATTAATGAACCTCAATTTTTATAGCAAGTGCATTTTTCTATGAATCAAAGTTGTAGTAAAATTAATTTTTATGAGCTTGCACATTTATGGGTTCAACTATAATTCTCAGCAAACGCCCAAGTTTTCTCGGTAGCTGATGCTTTTACTTTCACTAAATGTCTTAGTTATGTACAATAGCTGTACGCTCAGAGAAAAATGACCTCAGTCTAGATTGTTTGCATAGAATTCAAAATGTTATTCAACAACATTTAGTTCTTGAATGGTCTTAATTTAAGTATTTACTTAATTAAAGTATCATTTGAACATGATTTTTAAATTTCACTTTATATGTTATTCTTTTCAGTTTTTTTATTTTCACTTTCTTATTATTCATGACCTTAGTTGAGCTTTTTCGTTATGAAGAACTTCCAAACTAAGGAAAATTGTTTGATTTAAATACAAAATTCCTAATAGTACTTCACGTCTTTTCTATCTTGTGAGCTTTGATATCATATGAACATTTTGCACAAAAAAAGTGTTCTTGAGATACGAAAGTCTTGCTGGTTACAAACTTTGTTATATTTTGTTAACAATTGCACTTGTTTTAAGTGTAAAAGTCTTAATTTCACACTGAGTTACTCAATTTCCTATTTTGAATTTCTATTAATAGCTGACTTGTGCATTTATGACGGCATTTTAAGCAATAGCAACACTTACTCATACCTGCTTTTGGCTTATTTATAGTCAAGCCCATACATCATTCAGACTCACAATCCAGTCGCTTTATTTCTCAATGGACTCTTGCATCATGCGCTGCATATATGTTCATATATCTTAGTATATATATTGGCCATTCTAGCTGATTGTTAATTGCATATTTTTTGGCATTAACTCACACTAGCTCGCACCTCTGCAACGCAGCACAGCTAAACTCATTCAAGAAATTATCGGAAGAAACAGATGTTTGCAGCTATTTTGACTTTGAAATATGTGAAAAAACTATGAAAATCGCATTTGCAGAAAATTTGTTGTTATTTTTGCACAGTGACACCAGCGTTTTATTTGAATTGCAAATGCTAAATGCTAATGCTAAAAGCGAATTATTCAGGCTAAAAATTTGTCAGCGCAATGAGCCAATACATCAAGATATGCATGCATAGATTATGCCTTTATATTTCTCTCTCTTTTATTTGTGTATTTTGGCAAACATTTCGGTTCCTAGAAATAGACAATTACGAGTCTAGTCTGTGTTTGCCTGACCTGACTCAGGTCGACATCATTAAGTTGCCTGCTGAATGCATATATTTTATAATATTTATATTTATTTGTAATATTTATAAATACACATGCGGCGCAACAACAGAGGATTCCGATGCCATAATTGGCGTGGAAAGTCCAGGTAACTAAATTGAAACATAACATTAAGTGCATATCCATTAATATGTAATACGTAGCGCTCAATTATCATATGTGATATGTGATAAACGCCAAGTGTTTGGGTTTGGGGCGGGTCATTAAACCAAGTGGCATCAATTTGTGGCAGACACTCAATTAACCATATGATATCGCCGCAGCTTCGATGAGAGAACCAACAACGACTCGTTGATGTCGTCAACTGGTTTGCTATCGTTCACTTGCAAGCCGGTTATTAGTTGGCCTCGCCCACTTTGGTTGAGCCTCTTCTAGGGCATGAATGAACACATGCGCATGTGTATGATGATATGTATATATATCTGTATCAGATCCGTACACAGTGCAAAAAGTTGTACATTAAATGCATTCCGTTTTTATGATTCGAACGGAATCAAATTTTACAACGCCTGCTTTTTGCCATGAACTAGGCTTCTTGTCAGGCTTACTTTTCGAATCAACTCCAAGCCTTGAGGTACCTTTCGTGATTCTGGTTTGCCACATCCAATTAGTCAGTCTAATGTCAATGCTATTATCAGGCTTTGGGAATGGGCTTACCTTAAATAATTTATAATTATTCCTCAAACAAATTTGCCTCGGCTTGCGTCTTTTGTGCAATGGCGTTTGTTTTATATTATATATACGGCAAAAATATATTGGAGAACGACTCGGTTGGGTAACATATTTAGTAATTTCTATAAACTGTCACAATTTTAATGCTCATGCTCTCTCTCGCTCTCTCACACTACTTTGATCACTTAAGAGCTAATTTGGCGAGAAACTGACAGCGGTAAAAGTGAAATCCTTGGATCGAACCTCAAAGCATTTATTTCAGATCAAAGCTTTTCAGACGTAGAGCCATAAAATTGATTAATAAAATGTTGCACCTGTAGTTCTTATAGTTTAATTACTTTAATAGCAATCGACTGTTTGTTTATTCTCAGAAGAAACCCCATAAATGTTCATTAATAGCATTTGCATCCAAAAAAAAAATAGTATAATTGTTTAGTCTAAACAAAAACACCGATTTTAAATAAAGCTACACAATTTCGTACTGTGTAAAAATTATTTTGTGACGCGACTGTAAATGATTTGCGTATTTACATAAGCAGATTATTAAATGTTAATCAGTCTGCGCATTGGTTCTGGTTAGGTATTCTACGCATAGTATATAAATTGCCTTAATTGCCTAGAGGTTCTAGTCGGGAGCTCCCGACTAGGGGATACCCTCAACCCTCTTCTTCAAATATCAAATGCATATATATATTTTATTTTAGAAGCTATATGTCAAGTTTGGTGACTCTATTTCTTATTAATTACCAAAATTGCCCAAAAATCAGGATATCGATATCGATTTTTATCGATTGCTTGGAGTAAGTTATCGATTATCGGAAACAAACTCGATCTGCGCGGGAACTAGGAGCATCTAAATCTAAAATTTCAAATCTCTAGCTCTTATAGGTTCTAAGATCCTTGCGTTCATACATACGGACAGACGGACAGACAGACAGACGGACATGGGTAGATCGACTCGGTTATTGATGCTGATCAAGAATATATATACTTTATGGGGTCGGAGATACTTCCTTCTGCCTGTTACATACATTTGGATTTTGCACAAAAACAATATACCCTTATACCCATTTTTAATGGGTTCAGGGTATAAAAACAAAACATTCAGCAGTCAATGCTGTTGACAACTGTATTCCATTTAGGGCAACTGTGGCGGATGCTGAACAACCTTATGTGTATTGCAATTAATATTCATTTCAATAACTAAAACTGTCATAAATTCCACACGAGACAGTTGCATTGAGCGGCGCCGGGTTCTGAGAAGATTTTTGCCAGCAAATTGTGAACGATTGATGCAATGTCAAATTTCAAGTACCTCAACGTACAGCCAGAGAGAGCAGGAATTCGCGAATGCAAATGCAACTTGAGGCACGTCTCCAAAATGCAAAAAAATAAAAATAAGAGCTTGCAGCATCGAGTTCCAAGCAACAATTTGGGGCAGCTGCTGATGTCATCCGGGCAATGTGAAAGATATGTAAGGATCGGTGCGGTCTGCTGTGTGCATGTGTGTTGTATATATGTGTGTATCTTGATCACGTTTTTAGCAAAGCAAAAGAGCTGCGACCGCAACACAATAAAGAAACATTTTGCAGCGGCTGCTTTCGGTTTTGGCTTTGGTCATGAATTTGATTCCTGGAACTCCTAAAAAATAACCACCATAAATAACTTGGTCTGGCTCTTTTGAAAACAAATCGCATTTGGGATGTTATTTGGTTTATATTTTTTTTCTTTCCATTGAGTCATTTAAATGACGCAAAGCCCTTGAACTTGGCTTCGGCTAATGTCGTGGCATAAGCTTAACAAATGTTCTTCTTTGATAACTGCGCAAACCTGTTGATAACCTTGAACGCATGTGTGAAACTCACATAAAATACAAATTCCAAGTCAACAAATAATAGAAAACATTAATAGCCCAGAAAATATCAACACACAGAAAACACGAAAACACCCGCATATTCGTGTACTACATATATTAAAAACAAATAAAATATCGAGCAACAGCTAAGTCAACTGAATTAAACAACACATTCAAAAGGCAATTAGATAGCAGAGCGATACGCAATTTATGCGAGCACAGCGATAATTTATAGTGTCAGTCGATGTTTATGAACACCCCTAGCCGAAAAACCAAAAATGATATATCTATAGAGCTTTTAATGCTGCGCCGCATAGAGTCGGAAAACTTAGCTGAAACATGGACATGGTCCGCTCAATTTTACATTGACCCTGTGCCAGCGAGTGCTTTGAACTATAAACAAAACTTAGATACAAAAACACATTAATATACTCATACATACTACAAACAATACAAGAACTACATGTATGTGTGTGCGCAGATCTATGCATATGTAAATTTATTTGCGACACAGCGATGACGACAACACGAGTCTGCAACAGAGGGGAGTACCGCAATATTTCTTATACCCTTAACCCACTGAAAAACAAATTTTTAAAAGAGCATAATGGGTTTCGCAAATGTATGTGACAGGTGGCAGAAAACATTTGAGACCCCAAAAAGTATATATATTCTTGATGATCAAATCGACAATTAAATGAATATAAATAAATTGAGCTTTTTCGACTTCCCGTCCCATTGCATATTATGAATATAAGTCATCGATAAATATTCATGTTTAGACTTACCTTTTTAAGCATAACTCAAGAGTTTGTAAGAGTTAGATACACCCAACTTCTTCCATAGCTCCATTTATGCACATTTAAAATATATCTCACTTTTTCTATATAGATGAAAATTTAATTGTGTTTAACAGGGTATTTCCTAGTCAGGCACATACGAAGATAACTTTTTTTTTCAGAAAATTTATTAGCAGTTGTTGAATTTAATAATGGCAGCTGCTCTTTGTTTAGACTTCAACTT